AAGGCGACGAGAGAAAGAGTTCGCATAGATAGCGATTACAACAACAAAACAAAATTATAAAACAAACAATAACAAAATTATAAAAAATAAAATATTGGTTCTTTTGCAAATTTCTCGATTTCAGCCAATTCATATAAGTCCAATATCATTATAATATGTTAGTTAGTTCCAAAATCATACTAAATAATACGAGGATCTGTAAATGCCCGTTTCTGCCGAAAAGTGGCGCTGATTAGCTGGTAGCCAACGTCCAGAATGGTTCGGAGTGCTAAGGATTAAATACAGGGCGTCCCAAAAATGTCTCGCAATCCGAAAGTGGCGGCTTCCTCGGGTCGTTTCAAGCAACTTTTTCCTTTACAAAAATTTTCTCCGAAACACCGTTAACGAGTTATTAACGAAAAACAGTGACCAATGAGAGGCGAGCTCGACTGGCGCGAGGCGACCGAGCCAGTGGAGCGAAACTGGGCTTCGCGCGCTGGTTGACTGGGCCGCCTCGCGTCAGCCGTACTCGATTCTTATTGGTCACCGTTTTTCGTTAATAACTTTAACGATAACGGTGCCTCGGAGAAAACTTTTGTAAAGGAAGAAGTTGCTTCAAATGATCCGAGGAACCTGCTATTTCCGGATTGCGAGACATTTTTGGGACACCCTTATAATTGTATATGTTTGGTATTATAAATCTAAGCGTGGCAGACTAATTCTTGAACGTTCGAGGAATATATTTGATGCGTTTCAAACAATAATAATCGTCGCAGTTTATTCTTCACAGTAAAAATGTTTATTTGAACCGAACGATAATTATTCGGTGCTATATAATTGCGCTATAATTATTATAGCACAATGTTTACTCACTATATTCAGCGAAACAGAAATATAATACAAAGTAACAAACGCAGTGACCAATATACTGGGTGTCCCATAATTATGTTAACTCCCGGACAGGGGTATCTCTAATTTAATTAATTGATATCTGCGAGTTAAAGCATAAATATTGATATTCCCATAAAAATATATGCCGTCCGGTGATAAGCGGGCAACCATGTACTCGTAGACAGTAGTCGGACGACTATTGTGTACCAGTCCCAGTTCCGGCGATATTGAAAGTAGCAAGAAGAACTTTCCTCCATTCAGAATACTTCGACTTCGCGAGTTGATCCTTTTTGCAGGACACCGGAGAGGCTCGCCTCGAATTACTCGATTCTTAAAGTTCTCCCCGGCCGAAGTTCTGTATGCGTACCGATGTTCGATTCCTTGTCGGTCGTTTCCGGCACGTCAGTTTAAATTTTCCTCAACGTCAATATCTCCATTCTTGCCGGATATCAGGAGACGCGCCGT